CCTCCCTCTCCCACCCCTCCCTCTTCCTTCCCTCCCCTCCATACTATCCCTCTCCCTCCACCTGGTATGTGTATGGTGCATCTAGACATTTGCTGTTAACAACAGGATTTGAGATGGTCACAACAAGAGATGAAGAGCAAATGAGGGCTGAAACGATTGGATCAATTGTCTTTGAACAGGCAGTCTCGTACCATCGACATTCTGAAAAGCTCCCCCTGCCTAATCCTGAAGATCTCAACTGCTGGTGGCTCGTAGATCGCATCCGAGTGGAAACACCCTCGTCACTGGAAGTCTGTGCGGCCAGCCTCTCTTGACGAACACGTGTTACCTGTCCTCTCATGACAAACAAAAACAATTGTAAGCTCCGAGTAAAAACTGTGAAAGCATGGAGATGAAAAGACTGTACAAGCATCAGACATATGTCAGAACAGTGTCTCATGTGTTACCGTACCTGTTCAAGTTCTATTATGCTTAATACCTGAATCTCATGGACCACATCCCTGTGCAAAATCCTCAAACAGCCATTGACAGAGTCCTCCTGCGCTCACATACGATAGCATCATCTACATCCGATTCCAACCGAAGTCGTGCACAGTGTCGAAGAGTTAGGTGTAAAGTTGTGAACCTATAGTTTTTGAAAGCCATCAGGGTTTCGGGTCAGCCTTCGGGCTTGGGCTGCTGCCCTGTTTTGTTTGTCTCACCTCTGCTGCTGTGGGGGCTCCCTCAAAAGAGTTTCTTCAATTCTCCCCTCCATGAATAATCCTTCTGGGCTTCCACAGTGAAAACATTGAGGTTCCTGAACCACATCTCACGAGCTTCTGTTGTCAATACTCCAATCTACCGTCTTCACCCGAATATAACCCCCGGTCATTATAGCCGTATTTGGGGCAATTTTCTGTCCAGAGGCAGCGATAATTACCGGGCGTTCTATTAGGGTGGAGACGGTAGGTGCCTCACCAATCGCACTCCCTCTCTTCACCTCCTGCCATGGTTCTTCCTTCTCAACCCAAGCCTTCACCACCCTCCAGGTACTTCCTGCTCAAGCGCCACACTATCTTAGCAACTACAAGTCCCCCCCCTGTCGAGGGTCAGAAAAGATGGTCGTCCACCATATCCGAAAGCTCCAGTTCAAACACGGGATGAGTAGTGGTCCTATCCAGCACAAGCAGAAGATGGGTTGCAGCAGCAGCCTGGTGTCAGGTTGGTGGACACTGGGCTGCCACTTCAAACTCCCGGGTAAAGAATATGGCGAGCCCTTAAAGTCCACAACCCGCGGGAATCTTCCGTAAAACTGCGATTTTGCACAAGGATGGTTTTACAGTTCAGGCATGGGCAGGTAGAAGGGTCCCACTTGTTCAACCTTTAGGCCTGGTCACCAATATTTTAGAGCCTGAAAAACGCCCTGAATCTCATTTTCCTGGGCCTGATCAAAATTGCAATCAAAATTACAAATGAGGACAGATCATTTTGTAGTTTATGAAAATGGAAGAAAAGCTTCAAAATTGCTACCCTTGGCCCCATACTCAGGACTGGACCACAAACCAATTGAGCTAGTTATCTGCTTTGACCAGGTGGTTAAAAAGGGAGCCAGCTTCCACAAGCTTAACAATTCCCTCCTGCGTAGTCAGACCTTCCAGAGCACGGAGCCCCGATGGGAATGGTTCGATTCTCTCAAGTACCTTGGCCAAAGTCTTTAGGAAGCTGGCGTCTGTAAGGATACAAAGGAGACAATCACTAGAATTTGCATTGAAATTGGCAGGAACTAACCTGGTGAATAATGAGATCTTCGACAAGGCGCGAGAGGAACTGGCTATGTGGAAGTGGTGGGACTTGAGAGGCCTTCAAATAAGAGCGAGAATGTGTGAATATGAGCTCAGCGACTCAATGACAAAACACTTTTTTGCCCAAATCAAGGCAAACTCGAGAGCTAGCATGATAGAAGGCCTGAGGTCTTCCACAGCCCCCGAGACTGTGAGATCAGACAGCGAAGGAATGTTAGAGATAGTGAACAACTTTTATAAGGACCTCTACCACTCTAAGACCGATACACCGATATCCCCCAGCATAAGAGAGGCAAGGCAGAAAATGCTACAGTACCTAGAGCGGACAATATCAACTGAATAGGCCGAAGTGGTTTCGTATACTATACAAAGATACAGTTGGTTGTGTCCAAGTCAACAGATTACTGTCATATTGCTACCCGATATCCCGCTCGGTCCGTCAAGGGGACCCATTGGCCCCATCGATCTTTTTATTTGTAATGGAAGCGATTGCTTCCTTCCTGCGCAAGGATCCATCAATCCAAAGACTGTCCACTACGAAGGTAGGCTCGGCTCACCAATGGATTTTCCCACAGCTATCATGTTTGCAGACGACCTAACTGTTCTAATTAGAACATCAGATTCTTCGTTTAGGACACTAGCTAAAGCAATGGAAGCGTTCAGACTAGCCTCAGAAATGAAGATCAATTGGGGGAAAGCAATAGGTTGGTGGCTATCGATGACGATCCTCTTTCACTCCAAGGAGAGAAGGCAGCCATGACGTGGCATGTGTCGGACACCCCCACCCGTTATCTTGGCATACTAATGACGAAAGAAGGCCTAGCACCCCAAACGGGTCCGAACATGCTGGCCAAACAGATCTGTGACGAACCACTTTCTGTAGCGCGCGACTTTCTGCGCGATTGCAATGAGGGGTCCTAAGCTGGGAAGGTTGGGCCAATTACGGGAGATTGGGATTGGAAGGAAATTGCATCGGTGCCCTCGTTTCTTCGTCTTTTTCATCGTCTCTTTTTGGATGGTTGGGTTCAGGGCCGGGTGAGTCCCGGGACGATCGATGGATTGGTTGGCTGTGTTTGCGGCGCGCCGCCGTGCGCGCGATTAATAACTGTTGACGTCGCCTCTTTTGTTTCGGTTTTGGAATTTGGGCGTGGACATCGCACGGAAATTTGCTTCGTTCTTTTGAATTTTCTTTTTGAATTCTTTTTCGAATCTTGCCGAGCCCCGATGGCTCCCGGAATTTTGGACTTTCTTTCCGGAACTTGTGCTTTTCGCTTTTCCCGCATTAGTTAGGAATTTAGGAATTTTGTAATTAGGACTTTCTTTTGCCGCGCGGCGCCTTTTGCTTACGCGCTTCTTTATGCGGCTGCAACGGAATTCTGATTAGTCGGCGCCTTTAATCGGGTGTGTAACTGTAATTTTGGACTGGCGCCATTGTAACTGTATCCTTTCTTCTTGTGCTTCGTCTTTCCTGCTCTCGTCTTCTCTTACTGTGTCGGGCCAGCCCCGCGGGCTGCATGATCGGATCGATGCGTGGAGAGTGGCTACGTCCCCCACGCCACAGTCGAACCATGCAGACGTAGGCAATCCCTCCCCCTCTAATCTTACTTCTAAGTCCTTGTAATTCCGTGTTCTTCACCCATGCATGCACGCTATAAATTCTGACTGCGCGATTAGTTAGCTCTCTTAACCAGCTATTGGGAGCTCGGGGTTGCGCGATCAGAGAGGGTCGGCACGCGAGCGAAGTAAGAGGTGAGTAGAGACGGAGTCGGGCGACCCAACGAGCTGGTGCCAAATGCGCGGGGTTGACGTGGGCCACGACGGACTGTGGGCGTGGGCGAACCTGACGGGTGCGGGAGGGCTAAGCGGGGTGACGGCTTCGTGGGTTGGTGCACGACGACGGACTGTCCGCATCGGAGAGAGAGAGAGAGGGAGAGAGAGTTGAGGTTGATGGACGCGGATTTGCTGTTTCTTTTATCTTTTCTTCCTCCTGTCTTGTGTACATAAATTTTGATTTCGGCTCAGGGCGATTTGCCCGTTTTTGTTTTTTGGAATCTGGACTTGGGTTTTTGCTCACATTTGTCTTCGCGATTTCCATCTTAGATGCACTGTGTGTGTATGTTGCTGAATGAATGGATGTATGGATGCCATGTTTGGTTGCTTGTCTTTCTACCGGATCCTTGCCTTTGCCTTTGTCTATTGCCTTTGATGCACTCATGAGTAGGATAGGAATTTTGTGCAATCGGTAATCCTGTTCTCGTTTTTGCTCATCTTTTGATTGAGCTATTGTGGCTGTTGCATCTTGCATGCTCAAAAATTACGGAGTGATTAGACAATCGGATGTCTGGCCCAGCGAACGCCGCACGAGACATGTGTAAACGCGATCTGAGTTGCGCATTCACACGTACCCTCGCGCGTCGATTCGTCAATCCCAAAAAGGGACCATCGATTGCAGAAGCATTGTCTGATTGGACGCGGCCATCCAGGGTCTGCGACGGAGCAGCCATCCCGTACAAACACGCGTAAGCGCGACTTGAGTCGCGTGGCCTGCACGTGTTCGCACGCGGTGGTCGCAATCGACACAAACCCGCCCTTAGGCATCCCGTAGCTCTGCGATGACATAATGACATGCTCTGAAAGCTCGGAGTCGTTGTTGTACGACCCAAACTACTTCACCCCTTGGATAGATGAAATCCTCCGACAAAGATATCCTTACCTAACCGAGATTCGACTGTGTCCTAGGGAGTTTCACTGCGCCACCACTAGTGACCCCCGATGCTCTGATTTCCCCACACAGGACCACACCCACTACTTCACCCACCCAGGATTCGTCGTCATCTCCACCAGCTTCCCTCCCTTCCGTCTTCTTCTTCCGTATCACCAACTCAGCGTCGTCCCGTGGGAGGCCATAGCCCCATACTGGCCCAGCACGCCTTGCGGAAATTGCCGACGACGCGATAACCAAAGGACCCCGGAATCCCGAAGGCCTAACCCGAACGCACGACGACCGGCGCCACGTGGCAACCTCCGACGGCCCGACCCATCGGAACCCCACCCATCTTGGAGGGACCTTCCCGCAAGCCGCCGCCCTCGGAACCAATGGCTCGCCCGGCCCTGAGTGCCCCGCGCATGCCCTCTGCTGTATGACCAGGGGCGGTCCGCCCTCTCCGCCCAATTGCACTCGTGCCCCCAAGAAATCCTGCCACAGGAGATCTCAGTTCTGACCTGGGACTCCACCCCCACTTTCCCAAAAATCCTTGGCACACCCCTTTTCGCACTTCCAGGCCCACATCCTACTCCGATCAGGAAGTCGCGCTGGGCGTGAGGTTGGGCGTCACAGTCTCACAGATCAATAAAATTAGAAGGTGGGGCAATGTCTTCACTTCCCTTATTGGTCAAGCGCTGGTCCTCAACACATCGGTCTTTTCAATGATGTGGTACATAGCCTCTATCTGGACAGTCCCGGACAGCTCCGTTAAAGAACTGAACCGAAAAGCTAGGCTTTACCTATGGACAGGAGACCCCAAAAAAGAGAAGGGCATATCTAAGATCGCATGGCACTATGTAACAAGGAACCCACAAAAAGGAGGCCTAGGAATTATTGACCCCGGAACAGAAACGAAAGCCCTGCAAATCAAGTGGATCATCAAACTGCTGATGAATCCAGACAACGCCCGGAATAAGTTGGCTTTGGATAGTATCAGATCCGTGGCCCCAAGGCCCTCCCCGGACGATATGTCAGGTTTGTTTTGGGTAATGAACAAAGATTGGGTCATAACTACAGGATGTAGGAATCAGACGAGGAACACCAGATTAGAGGGCTATCGACCGCCTACTTCATACTGGTCGGCGTTGCTTCGAACTTGGAGGAAAATATTTCCTAGTAGGACTAACAGACCCAAACCCAAGGATGAAGTACTTAGGCAACCGCCCTTCGGAAACCAATGGGTAACAAACGAGGCTGATAACCCACTCCTCCTAGAACATAGGTGACTCTCCTGGGTCAAAAACGGTATTTGGAAAATAGATCACTTATGGAATGAGGACAGAAAAGATTGGAAGACGGAACAGGAAGTAAGCTCCCAACTGAAAGGATGCCACAGACGAGGAGCCAATCTCCAGTACATAATTAGCCGTATCCCACAAGAATGGAAAGATATCCTGAAAAAAGAAACATCATGGAAGCTGGGTGAGTGGGGACTTATGATACAGGATGCGACTCCTTCTAGAGCCTTTCAATTTTCCCACATGCAGCGAGGCTCACACATCAGGGCCATCTTCCTCTCCTTCCCGATCTCCATGACCACCACTGGTATGCCAACCATCCTGAACTGTGACGTCGAATCGTCAATGCTAGAATTCTTCCTGCTAAGGAAAGTAAGAGTCCTAGGATCATGGCCGAAGTCAATCTTCAGACCTGACACTGCGATCCGTAGCTTGGAGTTCGATCCAACGGAATGGGCGTGGATGCCGGACAGTGCCAATAATATCAAGTCCAAAATTCCAATCCAAGATTACACAGTCAAGCTTGGGTACAGACTGTCTCTGAAGACCAAAAACCCAGACCCTGTTATCAAAAGCAGATGGCGGAACTTATTGGGCCAAGAAGCAGGCAAAATCACACATATCCAATGGAAAAAGTTCAAGCTTATCAGGCCGATTAAGATCAGAAGTTTGCAATGGTTAATTGTCTATGCAGCCTTACCGGTGAACCAATGGCTGCACATCAGACGGAAAGACGCAGCTCCCAAGAGTTCGCAAACATGCACAGTCTGCACCGAAGGCACGGTAGAGGATATAGTTCACTGCCTAGTGCACTGTAAAGAGGCGACAAAACAATGGGCGAGAGCCTCGTCACTCTGGGGCTCACTCTTCTCAACCTCCTTTCCCGAGCAACCCATTCAACTTCTCCTCTTGACTAACATCCCTGATCAGGCGCGGAAGGCAGAAAGGATCTGGTTTGAACTTATCAGGAAAGTGACCCTATGGGTCATACGGAAGGAGAGATGCAGCAGAACAATTGAAGGACAGTCCAACCCACGGGAGAAGGTGTGGGTAGAAACCAGAACGATGATACAGGCTGAGATCCTTTGCAGATGGCGGAAGACCAAGCAAGCCTGGACAGAAGACGAGGAACATCGAAAGAAGGAGAGACTGAGGTTCTACAGGAATTGGTTGATAAATGGGCACATCGGTTCAGGGCTTTTGGCAGTTCGTACCGAGTACATCGCTGCTGCGCTACGCGTGAACCGGAAGTGGTGACGGCTCAGCGTGCAAGGAGACGGGCATAGCCAGACCTTCGGAGTGCAGGCCATAGCTGGGACCTGCGCTGTACTCTGCCAGCACGCAGGGGCTGACAGAGGTCTGGGGTATCGAGGTCTGGTGGAGGCGAGAGAGATTGGTGCCCTGGGGTCCCGGAGGGTTTGCGCTGCAGCCATAGCTGCAGCTCCTTCATCTCAGAGGTTATCTTGTCAGGGTTTGGTGGCACTGCTGCAGGTTTCCACCCAGGAAGCCTCCCGACACTTCATCATCATCAGATACTGTGGCGCTGGTCTTCTTCTTCATGGCGCTTGGCCTCAGAGGCCTGTTTCAGGGTGGCGCTGCCCCCAGGAGGCTGTATCTGGGTGGCGCTTGATGTTTCCGGGACTCAGGGGATGTTACGGGTGTTAATCAGGGTTGGAGAGTGAAGCACTGCTCATATCTGAGCAGCGCACTGTAGTACTGAAGTTATCCTGACAATTTGAGACTCTGAGTTTAATAAACAGTATGATACTGTGTTTGGACTATCATCGTTTCACTGTTTCCTGGATGTGATCTGCTCGGCTTTTCTCTATGACTGGTTGTGAGGATTGAGTGGAGTGAATTGCACTTTCAGTGTACCCTGTCATATTGCATGGTCAAGTCTTCCGCTGTGTTTATCTCTCCCTGTGCGGTGTGATACTCCTATCCTCTCCCCTTCCTTCTGTGTATGTATGGGCATGTGCAGAAGTCTATGTGAGTGAGTGTTGGCCTTCAGGCAACGAACAACCAGAATCATAACATCATGCTGCAGAGGTACATTTGCAAATGAAGTCTCGTCACGTTTTCCTTCTTTGTTTTGGGGTTTTAAGAAAGGGTTATTACTGGGAGAAGCGGGCATGCTCTTTCTAGGAGAAGAGCCAAGCAAACGGTGAAAGCTGAGACAATCGTTCCCTGAAGACAGGGCATAGCAAGCAGGTATCCGGAAGAGACTTGATACGGATTGGTTACCAAATGGCAAGGAGGCAGGGTTGGACAAGTCCGAGTGATCAGGAGGGATTGGTGCAACACAGAAACAAGCAAGGATTTCAACAACGCGCAAAGAGACCTGGTTTGAGAAACGGATCCTGGAAACAGGAGATATTGGGCAAAGCACCTCCAGATCAGAACTCTAAAGAGAAAGATTCGGACTCATAACACCACATTCGGGGAGATACAGTCGGGGTCTGGAGCTACGCCAATGGAAGGCGAGAGCAAGGGAGGAGAGTTTTTAAAAAAATAATACTTCCAAGTGAGGGGCAGGGTTTAGGGTTTAGTAGACCTCAAAAGAAGGGAGAAGGCTTAATGGGTTAGGGGATGCAGCGACTTACGGGCAGGGCCGATGAGGGGGAGAGCACAGGCATATAGAAATAATGGGCGAGCTCTTTCAAGATGACATAGCACTATCTGGCAGAGCTGGCTTTTTTCAGGTCTGAGAGGAAAGAGGGAGTCATGGCAAGCTGACAGTCAATCCTTCACCATTGGTGGAGCAATCAATGCTGTTCAGGGGTCCTCCGGCCAAACGGGAGGAAGCGTGAGTTTTCTGCTGTAATGCAATGTTTCTTCTGACTTGCCGGTGGAATAGGAACCGGACTGACGCTCCCCAGAATAGACGGAGCCAGGCATAAGGCCCTGCATTTATTTAAAAAAAAAAAGAAAAAAAAAGGTAAGCTTCAAAATTTTCAAACACCACCTCAAGCACAGACCACACAATGACAAACAAATACTTCTACATATTTGGAATATGGAACATCCCGTTTACTCAGACCACAACAAGACTGAAGGTTGACGTACTCCCATCACTCTGAAATCGAGGTCCTTTGAGACATTGGTGGCTATGCATGAAGCTTCACATTTTGAGTGAAACCTTTTGGGGGAAAAAAAGAAAAAGCAGGTCTCTATGGCCCGGGATCCATATCCATTCTGGGGAGCATCGCTCCGGTTCCTAGTCCCCCGGCAAGTCAAAATACTAAAATAGTGAAAATTGTGTAAAATAGTAAAAAATACTAAAAATACTAAAATAGTAAAATACATCATTTACCCGCTCACGATTCCTTCCGTTTGCGGGGTAATGGCCCCGGTACTGTGTGAATTTGATATGGGGTGCTGGGGCCGGTGTCGGGGCAAATACCCTGACAAGGGTATTTGCCGGGGATTTTAAAACGTCGGACGCTGTCCGACCTTTTCGTTGAATTGAAGGACTTGATGAGACTCATGTTTGCCAAAAGTTTATTCAGACCTGACCTATGACTGAGAGACTAAAAGTTTTCGAGCTTTAGTTCGGACGCTTGTGGCGTCCAAGAGTAACGACAGTAACTGGCAATGCTT